CCTCTCTCTCTGCTCCTCCCTCGCTGTTTCTCTCTCTCTCTCTCAAAATAAATAAATAAACTTACAAAAACATTTTAAAGTTCTGTCATATTTTGGTGAGTGTACTTAAATTTTTTTTTATTTTGAAATAATTTACACCTACAGAAAAGTTGTAAAAACAGTAGGGTTCCCAAATACCCTTTGTCTAGCTTTCTCTAATGTTAAGTGTCTTATATAATTATAGTGTAGTTATTGAAACCAGGAAATTAACATTGATATAATGCTATTAACTAATCTATGCAACTCAGTCCAATTTTACCAGTCTTTTCTACTAATGTCCTTTTTTTGGTTCTTCAATTGGGTTTCTTATAATTAGGTCATGCATTTTTGGCAAAAGTGATATTCCCTTCTTAGTGGAAAATATCCGGGGATATATAATGCCAGTGTGTCCTATTACTGGTGACATTGACTTTAATCACTTGATTATTAAATTGGTGCCTGTCAGGTTTCCCTACTATGAAGTTACTATTTTCCCTTTTGTAATTAGTAAGTACCATGTGAGCAGATACTTAGAGACTATGCAGATGTCTTGTTTCTCATCATACTTTTGCTCACTACTTTTAGCATCCATCAATAGTTCTTTTTTTGTTGTTGTTAAGATACATAACATTAATTAATTATTTTGAAAGTTGTAGTTTAAAAAAACCCACATAACATTAAATTTACTATGTTAACCATTTGAAGTATATAGTTTAGTAGTGTGAAGTATATTCACATTGTCATACAATAGATCTCTTGAATTTTTTCATCTTGCTGAACTGAAATTCTACACCTGTTACACACTAATTCCACCCCACCCTACCCTTGGCAACCACATTCTACTTTCTGTTTCTATGATTTTGACTATTTTAGATATTACATATGGGTGGAATCATATATTATTTGTCCTTTTGTGACTTATGTTGCTTAGCATATTGTCCTTAAGGTTCATCCATGTTGTAGTATGTGACAGGATTTCCTTCCTTTTTAAGGCTACATAATATTTCATTATATGTATATACCACATTTGCTTTGTCCATTTTGATGGATATTTGGGTTGCTTCCACATCTTGGCTATTGTGCATAATGCTGTATTAATATAGTGTGCAAATATCTCTTCAAGAGCCTGCTTTGAATTCTTTTGGATATATACCCAGAAGTGAGATTGCTGCATCATGTGGTAATTCTGTTGATGGTTCTTGACTGCAGTAATCATTACTCTGGTGTTTGTATAATGATTATTTTCTATTTCCATCATTACTACTATATTTATTGCTTGGAATTGTACTGTAAGGAAGAGGTGTCACTTCTCCATTTATTTATTCAACTATTTATATGAGTATGAGCTCATAGATATTTATTTCCTTCTATGAGTTATAATTTATTATGCCTATTATTTATTTTGTTGATCAGATTGTCCCAGGTTTGGCTGTTAGGACAGTTCCTTTTCTACATGCTTTCATTATTTTTGAACATTCTTTATTTCCTAGCACCACAAGATGTTTCAGGTTTATCTTGTATTTTCTTTGCTTTAGTCCTAGATTCAACAGTTTCTCCTAAGGAGCCCTGATTCCTTTAATTGGAGAATGATATTTGGAATGTTTAGAAATCTACATCTTTGTGCTAGGTGTGCATGAGCATATGTTATTGACCCCTATTTAGGTTTTTGAAAGCAGCTTGATGTAGGGGAAAAAAGATAGCTCTGAATATATGTTTAATCCCTTAATGAACTTTACTTCTGGGCTTAAGTGTCCTCATTTCCAAAATAGGAAAAAATACTACCAACCTTGCAAAATTGTTGTGAGATGATGCAAGTAAAACATCAAGCATATACGTCCTGGGCATATAGGAGAGCTTCAATAAATTGTAACTGCTGTTTTGTTGCTATTTGTATGTTCATTGCTACTTGGGTAAATTTCATCCTTACTGTATATACTGAAACAAACAAACAAAAATATTGTCCTAAAACTACCTTAAGCAGTTGCAAACTCTCCCTAGTTCTTAGTTTCCTCATCTGTGAAATGAAAAGTTTGGACCTAGATCTCAGATTTCTTCCAGCTCAAGTGTTGTTATTCTGAGTTACTCCTTAGTTCTTCAGTTGCTTTTTCTCCAAGCTAAACATTTTAGCCTTTCATTTTAATTCCTTTTAACCTTTCCACTAGGACCTTTTATTCATCTCTTTGATCACTCCTGTGGTTATTTTCTGGACTTCTCCAGATTGTCCTTCTATTTAAAAAAAAAGAAAAAAGAAAAAAATCTACCTAAGTTTTATTGAGTGCCGACTCTATGCCCAGAATGATATTGAGCAATGGGACAGAAAATAAAAGAGGTGTAAGGTAGACTGTGCCTTGGTAGAGCTTTTTAAAAGAACAGATACATACACCCGCAATATTCAGTAATTGCTTGAGTCCTTCCCTCCTTTCCTTCCTTTTTTCTTTTTTCCCCTTCCTCTTCCCTTCCCTTCCCCCTTCCTCTTCCTTTCCTTCTTTCCCCTTCCCTTCCTCCTTTCCCCTTCCCCCTTTCCTACCCTTCCCTTTCCCCTTCTCTCCCCCTTCCCTTTCCCTTCTCTCTTTCCTTTCTCCTTCTCTCCCCTTCCGCTCCCTCCTCTACCCTATCCCCTTCCTCCTTCCCTTCTCTTCCTCTTTCCCTTCTTTTCCCCCTTCCCTTCCCTTCTCCTTGCCCTCCTTCTCCTCCTCCCCTTCCCCTTCCCCTCTCCCTTCCTCTTTCAGATCAGGGAGGTCTCTACTTTTAGAATTTTTTGAAAACAAAAAATAAAAGTGAAATGTTATATTCATTTTAATGAGGGGCTGTCTGCAAAAGAGTATCATTGGAGTTGTCTGGAGCAGGTCTTTGCATTTATGTTATGCATTGTAGTTTGCTTATCTTTTTCACATTGTTTTATTTGGTTCTCAAAACAAATTTATGATAGGCAGAGCTGGGGCTTCTGACTCAATGTTTTCTCTTCCATCATACTGTACTTTCTCAACTTTGTCTTCTCACTCACCTTCTCTATCCTGCCCACTTCTTTTTTTTTCTTAATTACTTTTTGATGTTTATTTATTTTAGACAGAGAGAGAGAGAGAGAGAGAGAGAGAGAGAGTGGGGGAGGGGCAGAGAAAGAGGGAGACACAAAATCTGAAGCAGGCTCCAGGCTCTGAGCTGTCGGCACAGAGCCCGATGCGGGGCTCAAACCCACAAACCATGAGATCATGACCTGAGTCGAAGTCAGACACCCAACCTAGTGAGCCACCCAGGTGCCCCCATATCCTGCCCACTTCTTAAGGCTTCTTTGTGAAGTCTTTTTGGATGACTCTAGGTAATTCTTTTCTCCCTCCAAATTTCTGTTGTTTACACTGTTCATTACATACCTTTAAGCATTTTTGTACATTTTATTGAAGTATAATAAAAATACAGAAAAAGGCATAAATCATAAGTGTACAGCTGAACTAATCATTACAAAGTGAGCTAACCAGCACCCAGATCAAGAAATAGAACCCAAGAAGCTCCTTGATCCCCCCAGTCACCACCCATAACCAAGTTTAACCAGTCTTCACTTTGAATATCATAAAATAATTTTATCTTTTAAACATACAGTATATACTCTCTTGTGTTTGTCTGCTTTCACTCAACTTTGTTTTAGAAATTCATCAATATTGTTCTGTGTAGTTATAGTTTATTCATTCTCATTATTGTGTAGTATACTATTATAAAAATATACCATGATTCATTTATCCATTTATCCATTGATGGGTACTTGGATTATTTCCAGTTTGGGCTATTATTAATAGTGCTGCTCTGAACATTCTTGTATATGTTTTTTTTGTAAACACATTTCTGTTGGGCTGTATACTTAGAAGTTGAATTGCTGAGTTTTATAGAATGTGTATACATTCAGCTTCTTTGGATACAGCCAAATAATTTTTCAGAGTGATTGTACCATTTTACACTTCCACCAGAAGTGTATGAGAGTTCTGGTTGCTCTGCAGCTTTGCTAACACTTCTGTGTGTGTGTGTGTGTGTGTGTGTGTGTGTGTGTGTGTGTGTGTATGATCTTTAACCATTTTAAAATATGGTAGTTGGTTCTGTTTCTTGTGTAGTGAGTCTTCTTTCTTTTCTCCACAAGACTATGAATTCTTCGAGGATAGGGATTGTCTGTATTCTAAAACTGGACATAAAGACTGGCATATTGTGTGCATTTAATAAAGGTTGGGTGAGTGCAGCATGTATGCATGGCATGTATGTAGATAAGGACAAGAAGGAAATAAGAAATAACCATGTAAGTGGTTGAGTTTGTTCATTCAACACATGCTTGAGTGTTTCCCATATCTAACATGCTATACTTGATTCTGGTAATATACCTAGTTTCTACCAAAACTGTTTTTAGATAAAATGGTCAGAGAAGGCCTCTTTGAAAAAGTGACATTTGAATATTTCAGAGTAGTTTTTTCTTTTACAAAAGTTATTTATTGGTATATTTTCAATTTAAATAAAGGAAAAAATTGATGTCTTTAAAGGTCAAGGGAGTCTTTTTTGAGGGGCAAGTAAGTAAATGTGTGTGTTTATATATATGTGTAGGTATGGGGAAACTAGGTGGTGTCCTTGGTGTTAGGTACCTGGGTACTTCAGTAGTTCAAATAGTGTTAAATGTTAGCTCATGAATAATGGTCAGACAGAAATACAGCAGTTGGTGAGACAGTCACATAGGGAATCCATTGGTTACTCCTGGAGCTATATAATCTATATATAGGATCATGTAATCTAGTAGAAGAGAACTTGCTAGTTGTAATTGTTGTCAATTGTGTTCTTTGAACCTGTTTTAAGTGCTTTGTGTTCTAGGTGGACCATTACGTTGATGTATGTGATGTAATGGGAGGTAGTCTGTATTTAGTCTGTTTTACAGAGCCTACTTAGTACCTATGAGTTAAAGCATAAGTATTCCTGGGACTGAACAGAAGAATCCTAACTAGTTTTTTAATATCTTTATTTGGAAAGAAAAGTAAATGGTAATTCTTGATTAGAAATTCCATCTTTCCCTAATTAGCATTAAAGAAAAAAATCATTTTCATTTCATGTGTCTCCTCTCTTCTTGGAATAAACCAGAATTAAAGGGGTGACCCTCCTTCTGCTTCCTCTCACCCCTTTTTTGGTAAAGGTAATATGATAGTATTGAGATTTTGGAAACTATATTCCTAAATTCATCCATAATTCTAATTTAACAACATAACTCTTTCATTTCTGTATGTTTCTTTCTAGAGATGCCCATATACGTTCTTGTTTTTACCTATAATTTTATACATATAAGTGTTTCCATGTTGTCAGAAATAATGAGCTTTATTTTATTTTATTTTTTTTTTAATTTTTTTTTTCAACGTTTATTTATTTTTGGGACAGAGAGAGACAGAGCATGAACGAGGGAGGGGCAGAGAGAGAGAGGGAGACACAGAATCGGAAACAGGCTCCAGGCTCTGAGCCATCAGCCCAGAGCCTGACGCGGGGCTCGAACTCACGGACCGCGAGATCGTGACCTGGCCGAAGTCGGACGCTTAACCGACTGCGCCACCCAGGCGCCCCAGAAATAATGAGCTTTAATGTAAACTATGGACTTTGGGTGATAATGATGTGTCAGGGTAGGTTCATCTGTTGTAACAAATGCACCACTGCTGGGAGATGGTGATAGTGTCAGATAAGTGTATAGAGAAGGGGTTTATGGGAGCTCTCTGTATTTCCCTCAATTTTTCTGTGAAGCTAAAGCTGTTTGAAAAAATAAAGTCTATTAAAAAATCTCAGTGACTACCTGATTTTTCCATTGAATAATTTTACTGTAATTTAATTAACCATCTTATTGGAAATCTTATTGGACTTTTTCCCCCCCCGAGTTTTCACTCTTGTGAAAAATGCTACAGTGAGGCTCTCTTACTTGAAAATTTTTTCCCTTAGGAATTTATTTTCAAAGCTATGTTTATTAGTCTTGATTTTTTAAAAATTTTTTTAATGTTTATTTTATTTATTTTTGAGAGACAGAGAGAGACAGCATGAGCAGGAGAGGGCAGAGAGAGAGAGAGGGAGACCCAGAATATGAAGCAGGCTCCAGGCTCTGAGCTGTTAGCACAGAGCCTGACGCGGGGCTTGAACTCACAAGCGGTGAGATCGTGACCTGAGCCGAAGTCAGCCGCTCAACCGACTGAGCCACCCAGACGCCCCTATTAGTCTTGATTTTAATACCAACCTAATAGTGTTATGGTGATAATTAAATAAGGTAATACATGTAAGGCGCTTAGCATAGTACCTGGCACATGATAGTTGAAAATAATGGTTATTTTATTGCCAAAGTGCATTCAAATGCAATGTGAACATAAAAGGGAGGCAATTCTGATCTGAACAACAGTAATTTTGGTGATGATGGTGATGATGGAAGTTTCCACTATTTATTATTTTGTGAAAGGTACTTTACATGTGTTATCTTCTTTAATCCTCCCTACAACTGAGGTTCAGTAAGTTGCTTATGGCCACCCAGCTTGTAAGTGGCAGAAGCAGGTTTTAAACTTAAAATGGACTGTTAAGAGTCTTTCCCCCCCCATATTCCACACTGCTACTAATGTTTAGATAGGTATTTATTGCAATTCTGGTTCCTAGAATTGACTCAGATTTATTTAGTTCCAGGTTTCCAGGACAGAATCCTTTCATTTATTCATGTATCTAGGAGATGTTTATTGAGTATCTACCATGTATCAGATACCATTTTAGTGCCCATCTTGGATTCGTTTAGTGATCACATGACCAGGAGCTAGGTTAAACAAGGTTGGAAAGATACTATGGTCTTTGCTTTGAAGTAGCTCTACTCAGATTAACTACGTGAATGCTCTCTGTTGCTTACATCTGTTTTTTTTTTTTTAATCCCTAGTGGCCTCAGATAAGCCAGTCCCTAGCGTGTGGTGGATCAGAACAGATTCCTGGGATAGATGTACAGTGGAATAGGAAGTATCATACCACAAATAAGGTGAGAATTATTAGTGCTTTCTACATTTATAGATTATTTTCATACAGGTGTTCTTGTCTGAATCTCAGTAAAATTGTTAGCTGGATGAGGAAAGGAATTTTATTGAATGCAGAAAGTGAGGCTCAAGGAAGTGAACTGACTTGCCCAAGGTCACAAGGATAAGTGACAGACCAACTGAATATTTGATTGAACTGAAGACTTCTGATCCAGTGTTCTGTATTTCTTCCACTGTAGTGTCTTGCTTGGAAAACACTATTATTTTTTTAATTTTTAAAAAATGTTTACTTATTTTTGAGAGAGAGAGAGAGAGTGTGGGAGAGGTGCAAAGAGAGAGGGAGACACAGAATACAAAGCAGGCTCCAGGCTCTGAGCTGTCAGCCCAGAGCCCACGGTGGGGCTTAAACTCAAAAAACCATGAGATCATGACCTGAGCCAAAGTCAGATGCTTAACTGACTGAGCCTCTCAGGTGCCCCTGGAAGACACTTTAGAGAAGAAAGTTGTTGTGGATTTTTTATGCTAAAAATAAAATAATATTTAACTTTTGCGGAATTTCTTTCTTATTTTTTTTTTTAGAATTTTAATTTATTTATTTTTAGAGAGAGCAGATGTTCACAAGCAGAGAAGAAGGTAGAGGGGGAGGGAGGGAGAGAGAGAGAGAAAGAGAGAGAGAAAGAAAGAAAGAAAGAAAGAAAGAAAGAAAGAAAGAAAGAAAGAAAATCTCAAGCAGACTTCATGTTCAGTGTGGAGCCCGACATGGGGCTCAATCCTGTGACCCTGGGATTATGACCTGAGCCGAAATCAAGAGTCAGATGCTCAACTAATTGAGCGAGCCACCCAGGTGCCCTCTGGAGAATTTCTTATTGATTATATAGCCTGCCTTCATTTGGAGAAGCTTAGCATTAGAGTAAGTTTTTCTTGGAGTTTATTTGCAAACTATAAGACTCATATCTTCTATAGTTATTAATAAAATTTGTTATGCTAAAAAAATATGAGTTTAGAAACATTTATTCAGTGCTTGCTTTGGGTGACTATGATTTTGAATGACTTTTGACTTTCAGACAGTAGTTCTCTTTCCTTTTCCTGTTATGTCAAAAACATACAACATTCTTCTCAGAATTCTTTGGGAGATGAGGGTCAAGATATCCTTTTAAAAGTATTCTTTTCCATAGAATTTTTATTCTGATAGCCCAAATCTATCATTTTCTAGACATGGGTTCATAGGCATATGGTCAGTGAGATGGCTCTGAAATTTCGAGGACACATATCAGATAGAATTCCAGATGTGTTTGCATTGAGTGATAAGATGCCCAGAAAAATGAGAATTAAAAATTCTAGGTGGAAAAAAAAATCTAAGCAATAAAAATGTGCTTAGGCCTAATGAGAAACAAAAGCATTCTTTTTAAAAAATTATTTTGCAACTAATTTTGTCCCCTTCTTTTTGATTAAATAGCTTTTTACTACCAAGGATTCCCCACAGCCTGTTGAGGAGAAAGTTGGTACCTTCACAAAAATAATAGAAGCCATGGGATTTACAGGACCTTTGAAATACAGTAAATGGGTAAAGTCTTTTTAAGTTCTTCTCATTTTCTTTTTGGGCTTTGTGCTTTCTGCTCCTCATAGAAGATTTTTTAAAGCTTCTGTTTTGCTTTTGTGAAATTCATGTATTATTTTGAGAACTTGAAAATGTGTTGTCTCCCTCCACCTTCCCATTCTAAATCTATGTAACATGTGGGGCTGAACTACTCCCTCATTCCTTTAGCCTGATTCCTTAGAAGTATCTCAGTGCAAGCTAAGACTGGGCTTTCCAGGATCTTGTTACATGATATGCCATACAAATGAGTTCTAAGGAAGTAGATGGGCCAAATGTTCTGAAGGGCAGCATTCTTAAGAAAATATTACTCTCTGATGAATCCATATTCATAAATCATTTTTTCACTAGGTCATTATAGTGATTTTTGTTAAAATTTTATTAATAAGCATGTTTTAAATTAACTAGTCAATTGTGCAATTTATTGTAATTCTTATGGAGGGTTATTTGCTAGCTGTATCATTCCTAGTCAAGCCTTGGCCTAGCACGTTATCTGTTTTATAGTAATTGCTATATATGAATGAATATCTTCTCTGCATCAGGTGCATATTGCCCGTGGGTTTTTATAACAGTGCCTCTAACTAATTAAAATAATAAAACATTAATCATTGAGTTTTTCTCAGCCCAGTTATCTCCTGATGCTGGCATTTCTCTCTATTTTTATAGCAGAATGCCTTTTAGTGCTTTTCAAGGGTTGTTAGAATGTTGGATAAGCCTAATCAGTCATAAATTCTGTATTAATCAAAAGCAAATCAATGCAAAGCAGTAAGGAGGACTTTTCTAGAAAACATAGCTTTGCCCTAAATGATCAAATAATGACAGTTATACCATTTTAACAGGGTGAATTCAAATTAGAATTTGAATTTTATTACAGACTTTACTTGTAGTTTCTTCTTGGAATGTCTAGCTCTCTTCCTAACAGTTCTCATTGCAGCAAGTATAGGCTTCTCTCTGTATCTCCTTTTTACATAAATTCTGAAAAGCAAATCGTGATTCCACAAGCATATTAAAAAAATTTTTTTTAAGTTTATTTATTTATTTATTTTTGAGAGAGGCAGAGACAGCACAGGTGGGGAAGGGCAGATAGAGAGGGAAAGAGGGAACCCCAGGCAGGCTGTGCATTGCCAGTGCAGAGCCCAGTGTGGGGCTCGAACCCATGAAACCACGAGATTATG